CTGCATGGCATCTTTCTGGACACTGCCTTGCATGGCATCTTTCTGGATACTGCCCTTTATAGCATCTTTCTGGACACTGCCTGCCATGGCATCTTTCTGGACACCGCCCTTTAGAGATTCTGGGCTCAAGCTGAACTGAACTTCTCGTTCTTCCCAAACTCAGAATTCCACCCTCCCTGCACACCTTTGCACAGGTTAACTGGGAATGCAACCCTTTATCTCAGCCTCTCCTGTCAAGTCTCCTCCATTAAACCTTCCCCAATCCACTCTCCCCATCTCTCAGTGCTAGTGTTTTGCCCTGCTTCAGCTCTGTCCTGTTAGACTTGTTCCTATACACCTTGTATCTATCCCTCGGGTGTAGACTCCTGGAACTCAGGGACTCTGGGTTTCGTCTTTGTCTCCCCAGACTGTAGCACAGTGACTTGCATCCTGTAGGGGCCTAGTAAGTGTTTGCGGAGTTGAGCTGAACCTAGGATCCTTTCCCACTCTCAGTCCTGGGATCCCTTGGTATGTATCCTCTTGTCTAGCTTCTGAGGATGACTGGGCTGGATTGCAGGATCATGGCTCTCAAGCTAGAAAAAAACTCAGAGACTACCTAGTCCACCCCCCCATTTTACAAATGAGGAAACTGAGGCCCAAAAGGAGGTGAAGTGACTCTCCCTTCTCCCTGGCCCTCAACACCTTGTCCCCAGATCATTCAGCCCTATCCTCTGAACTTTGCCTTTTGCCTAATCCAAGGCCTGAGCCCAGGTCCAGCACGGTCCTAGACTTATCAGAGGCCCCAGTGAAAATCTGCTCATGGATTGATACCAGGGATCGTCATGATGACATAAAAAGTGCCCTGGATTCCATTCAGGCAAACTAAGTTCAAGTCCTGACTCTCCCACTAACATGCTGTGTTAACCTAGGCAAGTGACTTCCCTCTTTGAGCCTCCGTTTTCTCCTGTCAAGGATAATAATAATCCATGTAATAGATGGACTGTTGGGAGGAGTGGCCGGCCTCAGACACTTGACACTCACTAGCCGTGTGACCCTGGGCAGGTCACTTAATCCTGATTGCCTCACTGAAAAAAAAAAGATTTCTAAAATGCTTTCTGGACACTATCTATGAAGTATTATCCTCATCCCCATCCAACAGGCAGGGGAAACCACTTGCTAATCATACAGCTAGCAAGTATCAGAGGCAGTATTTGAACCCGGGTTTTCCTGACTCTAGTTGCAATACATCATGCTGCCCCATAAAGGAAGCATTTTGTAACCTTAAAGTGCTGGAAGGCATTAATTTTAGAGCATTTGGGAAAAAGGGCCCCTGATCAAAGGACACTGGAAGGTCAAGGTCAGGGTGTGAACAAGGAGAGCCACAAGTCAGGGGTAATCATCTGGGGGCAGAGAATACTAACACTGCAGCTGCCACCATTGGTACACGGGTGATCATCACACAGTCCAGCTGAGAAGAGGCATCGGTGGCTGGGGAATCCTGGGAGGTGGGAGCAGGTGGCTCCATTGGTGCATGGCTGGAGGCTGGAGCAGTCACTGCCAGCCACTCGGACAGTGCAGAGGGGGCCGGTCCAGCCTTGACGACAGTGGCACTCACCTGGCCTCTCACAGGAGCCGTGTTCAGCACTGCAGCCTACCTGACATACGGCTGCAGGGGGAGAAGCGAGGGACCCCAGGCAGAAGGAGGGAGTGAAGGATGGAGGAGACAGAGGGATGATGAGAAACAAGAGTGGAAAGACAGGAACATTTGGGGAAGAAATATAAGGGGATAAGGGGGGAGAAGGAGAGGTGGTGAGGGAAAGAAGGTGGAACGACACAGGAGGGTGGCAGGCAGAGATATTGGGAGAGACAGGGATAGGGGAGAAACATGGAGTTTGGAAGAGAGGTTTGTAGAAGATATTGAGGGGCATGGAGTTTGTGGGAGAGATGCGGAAAAAACAAAACAGTTACGGGAGACATGGTGGATATATGACATTGGTGGAGACCTTGGCAGGAGAGTCATTGGGGAAGATAAAGTGTGAGAGATTTGAAAGGAGAGGCAGGGGGAGGTTAGCGAGAGAAATGCTTAAAGGAACACCACAATATTTAGGGAATAGAAAACAAGGAGCAGACAATAGGGGAGACCCAACAGGGGAGGGGAGAAGGCTTGGTAAGCTGTTCGGTATGGAAAAGCTCATCCTGACTACCACCTCCTCCACCCTGCCCCAAACCTGGGAATGGCATTTGGAGGGGGTCGAATTGCAGGGATTTCTCAGAGTCTGGGGAGGGGAAAAGATTGGGGAAGGGTTGAAGTCTAAAATCAGGGCGTTTGGGGCCGAGAGTCTGCATAATTCTGGGGAAAACAGAACAAGGCCTGTCCCTGAGTCGGAATGCAAGGACCTGGACCACCCTGCCCCTGTCCCACTAGTTCACTGACTCCGTGCACACGTCTCCAGCCCACCCGTCCATGCACATCCTTCCCGCTGTACCCCTGCCACCAGCCCAGCCCTCTCACTCACGCCGGGCACACATGTCTCCAGCCCACCCGTCCGTGCACACGCGCTCCCCATTGGCCCCGCAATAGAAGTGGCCGAGGGGGTCGTCCCGAGGGCGGCAGAGGCGGGCACAGGCAGGACCATAGTAGTGAGGCTCGCAGCGAACCCGGTAGGAGAAGAGGAGCTCCCAGCCCCCGGCCTGCTTAGCATCCCGGGCCCAGGGGCCGCCGACGGCCAATCTGTGCCGCCCAGCCAACCGGCTTAACAGACTTCGATCCGGCCCTGCAAGAGAGAGGAATACGGTAGCTGAGACCTGTGGCCCCAGCTAGTCCCATCTTTTCCTGAAGGCGGACCACAGGTCTCCCCCCTCCTTGATTTGGGAGCTCTTGAGAACCCAGCCCCCCCCATATGGAGCCCTTAAGGTACACAGCCCACCCCACCCCCACCATTCTCCTACTTGTGATTCAGGACCCCTCCCACCCTGATAATGTAGGCCCTCCTCTTTGACAATCTCTGCCACGGTGGCTTGGAACCACAGAAACTCCTACGCGTGGGGTGCTCAGGACCCAGACCTCCCCCGCTCCTCCTGCGTGGTCCCCCACCCAGATACAAGAGTTCTCGATACCATGTTCCACTCCGCCCCCCCCCCCCCCCGACCTCTCGGAGGTCATTGACCACCCCTTCCAATCTAATTCCACCCACACCCTGAGTGCCCCGCCCCCTCCCCCCTGCACCCCCTCCAGGCTCTCACCTGGAAGCTTCTCCCCCGGCTCTTTCTTACTCCTGGATTCAAGTTCCTCCCTCCAAGACTCGATGACTAGAGAGAAAGTCTCCTGGAGGAGGGGCAGAAAGGACATGGGGGAGTGTCAGCAGGGGGTCAAAGGGAATTCGAGAAGGGGTTAGGAGATGAGGTGTGGAAGAAGGGAGATTTCTTAGTTAAAGGGAAAGGTTCCAGCTCAGGGGAGAGAAGCATTAAGTGAAACATGGAGGAGACAGATAACTATGAGACTGAGGGAAAAAGATGCCGCTTTGTATAGAGAGAGGATCTGAGGGTCCCTGGAGTCAGCAGTGAAGGTTGGGGTGGAAGCATGAATCCTGGGGAAGTCTCGGAAATGGGTAGAGGAGTCTGTGCCTGGTTATCCCTCAGGGAACAGGAGCCCATTAGGAAAGGAGCCCCACGGTTGACTGTGGCATCTTCAAAGACAGCAATTTCTACAGGGGATAGGAGCACCACAGGGTCTGTTTTTGTCGTTTGCGGGGTGGGATGTCTGGGAATGGAGGTCCCTTAAAGTGACTGAATTAGAATCTGGGGAGGAATTGGCGGGGGTGGGGGTGGGGGGCCGGAGGGGAGCGTCCTGCAGCACTGTACTGGGGCTGGACTTCATCCCGCGTCCAGGAAAGGACGTTTCACAGGCTGTAGAGGGGGGATAAAAGGCATAGGTACGGCATTTCTGGACATCTGAGGATGTGACATCCATAGAACTGGGCGGAGTGGGGATTAGAGGACCCCGGAGGAGTCTGATATGGAGGTCTTCACACAGTCGTGAAATGGGGGCCTAGGGACTAGAAGTCCAACAAGGTCCCCAGGCTCTGGCTGCGGGGGCTCCTCACCGGCCAGGCGGTACGGAAGGGGACACGGATGAGGCCGTCAGCCAGGGAGAGCTGCGGGCCGGGATCGGTGGGGCCCCCGGGGTCAGGGGTCCCCGGGGTACTGAGCGCAACCCCCAAAGCACACGGCAGGTCCGGGCTCCGGTCGGGCAGCGCCGGCTTCAGGCAGACACGAAAGATGAGACGGCAGGAGCCCCGGGAGCCACACGGGGAGTCCGAAGAGTCCGGAGACCCTGGACCGGGCCGGAAAGAGTGGATCTGTAGTTCGAAGACCCCGGCGCAGCGGACCTTAGGGAGGCAACAGGGGGCAAGAGGTCAGAGAGTCCCAAGAACCCCACCCTCCTGCCCCAGTATCCCGCTGGATCCCCTCCCCCGGGGCCGCCCCGATGCCCCCACCTTGGGAAGGCAGAGTAGAGACACCAGAGCGACCAGGAGCTGGACGGTCAGCGGCCGACTGGAGGCCATGGCGCGCAGGGTCTGGAAGCACCCGAGGCTGCGAGGGCTGCTTTATAACCCGAGGCGAGGCCCCGCCCCCAAGGAGACCCAGCTTGTGTGTGTGTGTGTGTGTGTGTGTGTGTGTGTGTGTGTGAGAGAGAGTGTGTGTGTGTGTGTGTGTGAGAGAGAGAGAGTGTGTGTGAGAGAGTGTGTGTGTGTGAGTGTGTGTGTGAGAGTGTGTGTGTGTGTGTGTGTGTGTTACCAGGTGACGGTCTGGGTGCAAAGCTCCCTGCCGGCGACTGGCCATCAGTGTTACTAACTCGGTTTGAGAGTGTGTGTGTGTGTGTGTGTGAGAGTGTGTGTGTGAGAGTGTGTGTGTGTGTGTGTTACCAGGTGACGGTCTGGGTGCAAAGCTCCCTGCCGGCGACTGGCCATCAGTGTTACTAACTCGGTTTGAGAGTGTGTGTGTGTGTGTGTGTGTGAGAGAGTGTGTGTGTGTGTGTGTGTGTTACCAGGTGACGGTCTGGGTGCAAAGCTCCCTGCCGGCTACTGGCCATCCGTGTTACTAACTCGGTTTGTGGCTGTGTGATCTTGTAGGCATCGCTAGTTGTGGTGCTGTCAGACGTTACTGTAGTCTCCCTGTGTTTCTGGGTCATTGCTCGCGGGTGTATCCAGGTCTCTGATTACACCCCAAGCGCTCTGAGGCCGTAGCTAACCTCACGCTCCGCTCGTGCACAGCCAGAGGTGACAATGCCAGCATGTTTGATGGGAGCCCGGGGAGGAGAAGTGCCGAAGATGCGCAGGCATGGAAGGGGGTGCCCACACCGAACAGGGATCACGGACTCTCAGGAACCCGAAGTCTTGAGTGATCGTGTGTCTTTGTGGATGTTTGGATAGGGCGATTATGTTTCGGGATCTCGTGTGGCGAACGTGTCTTTGGTGGCTGTGGCTGTTTGTATAGCGTTGCATTGATCAATGTTTTCCCCAAACTCTTTATCCCAACCCCCCCCCCCCGCAAAGCCCTTAACGCTGGGGAGTTTGGCCCTCCCCTGGGCAGCCCCACTCCTAGTCACAGGCTTTCTGTCCCTCGGGGCAACGTTCCGGGGGCGGGGGCGGGGTGTAGGGCAACGGGGAGCAGAGCGGAGATCTCCTCCCAGAGCAGAGGCCAGCCTGCCACCAGGCTGGGGCTTACCAGCTGTATGTAAATCTGGCCATCTGCCTCCCAGGCTGCCCAAGCCCAGCCAGCCCCTTCCCTTCCCCGAGGCCCCTCTTCCTTCTTTGGTCTTCCCCCCTCCGGCTTTATGACTGGGCTGGGGGCGGGGGTGGGGGTGGGGAGGGGTGTCTCCATTTGCTCCAGGGGAGGTGTGAGCAGCAAACGGACAGGAAATGTCTCCGCAGCATTATGCTGGCAGGCACCTGGGTACCAGCTGGTCAGGGAGGGCAGTGGTCAGCCTCAGGTCCTCCTAAGCTAACTAGGGCTCCTCAGGCACGCACCCCGACCCGATGAACCTCACCTTCCAAACTCTCTCCCCTCCTTCACGACCATCACTACACATTCAGCATCTTGGGATCCCGGAGAGGGATGTTTGGAACTATCTGGCCCAATGGCTAACTCAGGACAGGGACACCCACTATAGCGTCTCAGCCAGGGAACTGGCCTCTTTAGGCGCTCCTCCAGAAACGGGGAGCTCCCTGTCTCTTTAGGCAGCCTGTCCCGAAGTTGTGTCCTGAGATAGGAAGTCCTTTCTTACAGGGTGCTGAAACCTGTCTCCTGTGGAATCCTCCAAATGGTCCTAATACTACTCTCTGGATCCTTAACTGAACACACTTTAATCCTCTCCCCCAAGGTGACCCTGCAAGTGCTAGAAAACAGCAGCCCTATCCCCCCAAGTCATTATTCCTCCAAGCTAAATATTCCCAGTTCCCTAGGTCTAGAATTATAGACCTAGGGAACTTGGAATATTTCCAGTCAACCCTTCCCCCCAACCCCACTACAATTCTGGCTTCTTTCCAAATGCCTCCAGCTTGTTGTTCTGTCTAGATCTGTGTCCCTGATTTTTCTCTCCATATTCCCATTTCCATACTGTCCATCTTTCCCTTTCCCTCTTCCATCTTAGGCCCTATTTCCTCAGTTCAATTCTTGTCTATCTTTTTGTTCTTTCTTTCTTTCCCTCAGTAGAAAATAAGGCAGGGACTGCCTTCTGTATTTGTAACCTCTGTGCCTAGCATAGTGCCTGGCCCATGGCAAGCACTTAATAAATGCTTGTTTCCTCCCTCCTTTCCTTCCTCTCTCTAGCCCACCCCCTCTGTACCGAAAGAAGGGAAGTACATTCCATCATTGGTCATCTGGAGTCAAGACTGACCATTCCAGACCTGAGTTGTCATCTTTCACAGTAATGTTTGCTTTGGTATTATTGGAGTCACCAAGTATATTCTGGTCAGCTTCCTTTGCTTTGCATCAGGTCATACAAATCTCACTGAGTTTCTCTGACTTCTGCTTGTCATTTCTTACAGCACAAAAATATTCCATTCACTCATATGTAGAGATTTGTCTGGCACTAGACTTTGGAGTCACGAGCATGTGGCTTCAAATCCTGCCAGATACTGACAAGCAGTGTGACCCTGGGGCAAATCATTTAATCTTCCTCTCCATGCCTGTTTCTTCATTCATAGTTGGGCAAGTGAGGGTTGGACTTGATGACCAGTAAAACCCCTTCTGGCTCTAAATCTATGATCCTGTATATGACCAGGTGTTCATCCACTCCCCCATGGATAAGACACCCACCGTTTCCAGTTTCTTGGCTACCACAAGGTGCTGCCATAAATGTTTTGTATAGATAGAAAGTTTTCCTGTCTTTGTCCTCCCTCTATGGGTCTATGTGTCCAGGTGCAGGATTACTGGATCCAGAGGGTATGAAGACTCATTTTCCCGGCATAATTCCTGATTATTTTCTGGAATGGTCATAGCCATTCAGTTCTACAAATACTGTTTTAGGATGCCCTTCTTCCCACAGCTCCTCCAACATTGTCTTATTTCAACTTTGACCACTTTTGCCAATTTGCTGGGTGTAAAGTGAAAGCTATGTTGTTTTCAAGTACTTTTCTCTTATGACTAATGATTTGGAGCATCCTTCTCAAGGTTGATTTCGATTTCTATTTTATCCTCTGAAAATTGTTCATATTCTTTCATCATTTATTAGAGAATGGCTCATGGTCTTACATGTTTGTATCAAGTATCAAGTACCTATAGATCTTGGATACCAGACTTACAGCAGAGATATTTGATGTAGTTATTTTCTCGATCGACAGTTGTTTTATTTACAGAATCAGACATAAAGTTGGAAGGAACCCACCATCTAGCCCACCCCACTCCCCATTCCACAGATAAGCAAACTGAGACCAGAGAGGTTAAGCAATTTGAAGTCACACGTTGATTTTATTCATACAAAAGTTTCTCTTTTATATGACCAAATTGTCTGTTTTGACTTTTGTGATTGCCTCTATCCCTTCTTGGGTTATGAATTCTCCCCAAAACTGTAGACTTGAAAAGTAGATCCTCCATTTTTTAGTTATTTTTTAAATAACATTTTACATTAAGGTTACTTATGCATTTGGTCTTTATTGTGATATATTTTATGAGATACTGGTCTTCATCTAATTCTTCCCAAATTGACTCTTAATTTACTCAACAGTTCTTGTGAAATGGGGGAGTCTCCACCTCTACGTGATCCACATTTTGGGATTAAACACTGATCAGCTCTGGCCTGTTCGATTGCATCTGGATCTTAACTCAACTTCCCACAGACCCACTCTTTTTTTCAACCAGTACCAAATAGTACCAATGATCACTGCCTTCTATATATTTGAAATCTGGAAATGCTAGGTCCCTTTCATTCCTTCCTTTGAGATTCATTACCATTTGTTCCTGCACATGAACTTTATGATTAATGTTTACTTCTATGCCAGATTGGTATGATACTAAACCTACAAAGTTTACATATTATTGCCATTTTCATCATATGGGCGCAGTCCAACCACAAACAAAAGAGAATAAGCATTTGTTAAGTGCCTACTATGTGCCAGGCATTGTGCTAAGCTTCACAAATATTACCTCATTTGATCCTCACAATCACCACCTGCATTTTTTAGTTGAGGAAACTGAGGCAGCGATTAAGAGACTGGTCCAAGATCACACAACTAGGAAGCCTCTAAAGCTGGATATGAACCCAATTCCTGACTCCAGAACCTTGGCTCTATCGGCTGCGTCACGATTATCTTCCCAACTGTGTCTCTCTGTTTCTGTCCAGTGTTCGTACAAGCCCTGAGTGTTCCTTCAAAGGCTAATTCTCAGGGAGCTCACAGATTTTGCGTTATTAATGGCACTTTCCTCTCTCCTGCTGGGGTTGCAAGCAGGTGATCTGTGTGGGTTCCTCTGCAGAGGTCATTCTGCCTCCTCTGTCCAAGCTCACTCCCTCAATTCCCTCCTCCCGCTGCTACGGTGACGCTTCTAGGATCAGAATTGACTTTTTGCCTCTGCCTCTCCCGGCTGCCCTTTCTCTAAGGCTGGAGAGCACCCACCCGAGCCCGCCTGTTGGCACACTGCCCAAAGGGTCCACGGCACATAAAAGGTTTAAACCTTCAACTGACAGAACCAGGGCTTCCCCGAGCTGGAAAGGACCTTCAGGCCTGGGAAGGGTCAGCTAGAAAATGGGAGACTGAGGCTGAGAAGAGAAGGAATGTGACCGCAGTCATCCATGCAAATGGCTGAGCTGGGATGAGACCTGACATCTGCCAGCCAAGACCCCCGACGGATGATGATCTCTCCTCCCCCTGCCCCCCCAATGAGATAGCTCCGGACAAGGTGGCGCTGGGACGGACTTTATTGTCAGGATGACCTTGGCCCCAGAGGCTGGGGCAGGGAGGGGCAGACAGAAGCGGTCAGGGCTGTTTGGATCGGGGCCAGAGGCGGCTGGTAAGAGAACTAAAGAACAGACTCTGTTTGGCGGTCTTGGCCAGGTCAGCCATGCGCTGCTGCTCCTCCTGGGGGATGGGGGGAGAACAGGGTGAGGCCACCTGAAGACCCAGGCTCCCCAACCCTCCCCCAGCTCCTTCCTCCAGGAAGTCCTCCGTGGTTCCCCTCCTCCATGCATCTCCACACCCAGAAGCCACAGACCTGCTCCAATCGCGACTGCCGCTGTTTGAAGGCCTCCAGAGGGTCATCCTCTAGGGCGTAGTTCTCTAGGACTGTCCGGACGTCCTCCACCCCATTCAGGGCGATGGCTAACAGGAGGGAAGAGGGAGGTCAGAGGATGAGAGAATCAGAGGTTTAAAGCTAGAAGGGGTCCAGGTCACCTAGGTCAACACCCTTAGTTTGCAGATGAGGAAACCAAGGCAACAAGGGCTTGACAGAGTTGGGATCTGAACCCAGGTCATTTCGCTCCCAACTCCCCACTCCTTCCACTGAAGCCTGCTGCCTCAAGGCCAGGACCAAAGGCTCAAAAGGCACAACCCGATGGCCATGAGAAAACGGAGGGGCAGGCGGGGCAGCTCACTCTTGAGGAAGGCCGACAGGTCGAGCAGGGTGCGGTCATCAGAGTTGCCATCCCAGGGTCGCAGGGCCACACCGTTGTTAGGCTGAAGCCGGAAGGCCTCCTTCTTACAGTCGACTACGACCACCCGCGCTGGGTCTCTGTTCAGGCAGGAGATGTCCTGGCAGGGGCGAGGATTCACGCACACACTAGTCCTCAAAGCTAGTCCAAAAGCATCCCTCAAGTCTCCCCCCACGAGGCCACGGTTTCTTCTCCTGTCCCGCCCTCACCACCACCTTAACCCTTAGCGGTACCTTGACATGGTGCCCATCCATGTAGCGTGTAGCATCCCGGAAGAGGCGGTAGGAGATAAAGCCGTGGGGGTCCACACTGTCAATGAGGGGAAATGCTGTCTGGGAAGGAACAAGGGGGTCAGTATCTTCCCTTCCCCCACAAAGGATGGCTGGAGCCCCCTCCTAGCCCCAGGGGGGACTGAGAAACCAGGTGGTCCATTTCCAACCCCCACCCCCCCCCCAGACCCCTGCCTAACCATGCCAGTCTCTGAGGTGAAGATCACAATCTCATAGAGTGGGGCCAGCTGCTGAAAAAGGGTCTCAATGCCTGGACGCTTCTTGAACCGCCAACCTGTGGCAAGCTGCGGGGGGGAAGGGAGCACGTGGGATGAAAAGAGACACTACAGGGGTCCTCTCTGCTGCCCGGACAAGGCACCCCACCCTCCTGCTCCTTCCCCCAATGCTCAGGCACTGTCGTCCCTGCCTCAAGGGTCCTACCCAAGACCCCCTGGGACTCCACAAGGACAGAAAATTTCAATGGCCTGGGGTTTTGGGCACTAAAACAGACCACCCAATATGCAGTAGGCAATGGGCATTTAACAAATGCATACTGATCAACAGACTGATCGATTGCTTCCTGGTCGATGGTCAAGATTTGTTCCACTCATCCCTCCCTCCATGACCCCATTTGGTCATGAGCCTCTTGGAACTTAGAGGCTGGTCCTGAGACATCTGGGAGGACCTCATCAAGCAGCCCCCGGTCCCCCACATTAGAGATGGCACTGACTCCAGAAAAAACTGCTACAAACCCTGAGACACTCCCTTTTAAGAAACCTGGATATCCCCCCAAAGCCTGGGCCCTGGAGTACCCTAAGTCTTTGCCTCCAAATCCCACAGGACCTCCCAGGCCCTAGCACCAATTCCTCTACCTTCCCTTCTCCCCAGCGATCCCAGCCTGGGCCCCCCACCCCCACGCACCGACCACTCGGGGTGCAGTAGGACACCCGTCAGCTCCAGGACAAGCGTATATGGGGGCTGGTAATACGGCTCTCGCAGAGGGTCCGGGAGGAGGCAGGGGCTGGTGGGTTCAATGATCATCTGTGGAAGGGGGGAGTCACTGGGAAGTCAGAGGACACAAGGAGATTTGGGGATGCCTGAGAGAAGACTAATTCTCAGACCATCTTTGCAGGGTTGTGATGGCATCTCTGGAGGATGGGGAGGACACCAGGGAAAAGGAAGGACAGCACATGAGGGCAGGAAGGAGTTGCAGGGGGGATCCCTGTCTCTGAGACTCCTGGGGGGCATCTCTTGGGGCTAAAGGGCACACTGGGGTCAGGTCAGCTGGAAGAGGGGGACTGAGGGCAGCAGAAGGTGGACTTTAGAGAAGAAGAACCCAGGTGGGTCTTCTGACACACCCCTGGGACGTGGATGGGGGGGGGGAAGCCTAGAAAAGAAACCTGGGGGCAGCGAGGTAGCACAGTAGATAGAGCACAGGCCCTGACATCAGGAGGACCTGAGTTCAAATCTGGACTCACTAGGTGGGTGACTGGGCAAGTCACTTAACCCTAATTGCCTCACCAAAAAAAAAAAAAAAAAAAAAGAAGAAGAAGAAAAGAAACCTGGGGACCATCCCACCTGCCGATAATCCTTAAAATACTTGTATGTTCGCCGAAGCTGCTGAACCAACATCGGATCTGAGGGGAATAAGGGAAAGGACTTCAAATGCCAGCCCCAAGCTGCCTCTCATTCTCCCAATTCTCGGCCTGGCCCAGGGACCTCAGACACTGACCAGAAACCAGGTAACAACTCCCCTATCCCTACCCCCCCCCCCCCCCCCCCCCGGGCAGACCCAGGCCCAGGAACAAGCCATGCTGGTCATGAAGACGATGGGAACAGAAGCAGCTCATTCTCTAAGGGATGGTGGGAATCCAACCTCTAGGTTCTGCCCCCTTCAAGAGGCCCAGGAGCCCCTGGGGAGGGCCAGGGCAGTGCCCGCACTCAGGATCCTCTGCGCTCAAGAGGGCCCAGACACCTGCGTGGAGAATGGGGAAGGCCGGGGGACTGGGGGATCCGCATTGTGGGTGTACACCTGGACCTAGAAGGGGCTGAGTCCTCAATAGAGGAGAGATTCCTCAGTCCCCGGGGGGTGAGAGAAAAGACAGAAAAGGCATGTGGCCAGCCCCTCCCCCATCGGGCCTGCCTCGACCATCTGCTCCTTCCAGAGGCCTCCCTACAGATGATGGTAAGGGGCCTTTGTCTACCCCCAGCCCAGGCCCTGCAGCTGCCCCAAACACTCAGGGGGAGGGGTTTAGCCACCAGATGGGCTGGGGGAGGGGCTCCTGGACAGTGGCATCAAAGGAAGAAGGGGATGGAACAGAACCCGAAGGCCTTGGCGCCCAAGCCTCCCCCCTCCCCCATCCACCCCACGAGGACACTCACCATTGTCAAACTCATCTGGAATCTGAGGAGAAGACACAGAGAGAGGTGGGTGAGGGGGACCTTGGGGGAGGATCCCCAAGCACCAGGAAGAGATCTGGGGACTCCAGGGTCCTCTTCTCCCTTCCTTCCCCCACCTCTTCTTCCAGGGGGGAGGACATCAAAGGGACTGGAGAAGGAGGTGAGGTCAGGCACTTCAAAGGCAGAGGGCGGGACAGCCGGGACACCTGACATCCCCCACTTACCTTCACACCATTCTCATCCACAGAGTTGTTTCCTGAGACAGAAAGACAAGGAGAGTCAAGAGATGCCTGAACCCCTTAGGGACTGGAAGCCCCCCGCCAAGACCTGAACAGAGAGCAGGGATAGGGTCCCTCCTTCCACCCCGCCCTGGGAACAGAAGTGGTCACAGCTGAGGCCACGGGGGCAGCCCAGGGATGGACTGGTCCAGAGCTGGCAGCTGCCACCTGGCAAAGGGCGAGCAGGCTTTGAGGAGGACGGGTCTTACCAAAGACATAAATTATGCTCACAGCACCCCCAGCCCCAAGAAGCCCTGCCACCCAGATCGCCAGCTTCTTGGCAGAGCTGGGGCCCTGCTGTTTCTGCTGCTGCTGCTGCTGCTGCTGCTGCTGCTGCTGCTGAGGCTTTCGATGTGTGGGCAAAGGTAAGTCTTCCGTTTGGCTCTGGAGAAGAAATAGCCCAGGGTCAGGTCATTGCCCACCTGCCTCAGACCCTGAAGTTGAGGACTGAAGCGATCAGTCGATAAGCACTTAGTAAGCACCTACTGTGTGCCAGGCACTCTGCTAAGTGCCAGAGATACAAACAAAGCCCAAGGAGTCCCTGCCCTGGAGGAGCTCACAGCCTTCTGGGGAAAACAATGGGCAAAGGGCCACATGCTAACTCTGAAAAAGCAAGACCCGAGAAAAGGCTAGGAGCAGGGGGCCAGGGACCCCCCAGGTCTGGGGAAAAGAAGTGGGAGCCAAATTCAAGCACAATCACATTCAACAAATATTAGGGGCAGCGTTCAGAGAAATGATTTAAAAGCCAGGTGTGGCAGCCCCTACCCTTGGCCCCGGCTCACCTGAGCTGGCCCCAATTTGATCAGCCCATGGTGAGAGAAGGGAATCCATCAGGCTGCCCAAGGAGGGAGAAACAGGTCCAGCCTGGGTGACATAGGGAGGCCCCAAAAAAGAGGGCTGATCAGGCTGGGGAACCTGTGACCTTCCAGGTCCTGGGGTTCGGCCCTTTGGCTGAATCCAAACCTCTCAGAACAAATCCATTTATTAAGGGTCCTCAAGTGTGGCCTTGAGGCCGAAGGTTCCCCACCCCTGCACTAGGAAGAGCTGGAGAGACCAGATGCTGGCGGCTGGGAGTCACAGACCAAGAGGCTGACCTGCCCATGGCCACAGAGAGGATGACAGAGCCAAGATTCAAACTCAGTTCCAAATCCAGCTCGACTACATGGTGCCAAGGGAGAGGTGGATGCCTGGGACCCCAGGGTGGGTAATCACAGCCCCCAATCCAGAAAGCAATTTGGAATGATGCTAAAAAATACCCAAAGGGACCAACCCCTGTGACCCAAAGATGGCGGTGCCAGGCCCATAAAGCAAGGAGATCACCGACAAAAAGGCCCCAATTGTGTCAAAGGTCACCTTTTGTAAAAGCAAAGAACTGGAAACCAACCAAGGGCTTGGAGGGCGTCAGGAAGGATCCCCCTCCCCCTTTCCCTCCTGGCCCAGCCCAGCCCAGCGGGGGTCTCTGGGGGAAGGGGACCCAGGACCACCACCACGTAAGTAACAGAACAACTCAAAGCTTCACTGAACCACTCTTACTGAGGATGACAGAAGCTTGGCCACCAGGTAAGAACATGCATCCAGGGGTGCCTGGGAGTGTGACCCTTCTGTTTTTATTCCTCCTTCAACCATAGGGCTTGGGGAGGGACAGATTTATAAATGAAGATGACGTACAAACCAAAGATCTGTATGATTAAAAAATTTTTAAAAATAAAGGCAGAAACAAGCATTTGCTAAATGCCTACTGTGTGCTGGGCACCCTACTAAGCACTTAAGTAGTCAACACTTGAATAGCACTATTACATGCCAAGCCCTGTGCTGGGCACTTTACAAATATTATCTTATTTGATTTTCATAACAACCTTGGGAGGGAGGTGCTGTTATTATACCCATTTTACCAGATGAGGAAACGGAGGCAGAAAGGGGTTAAGTGACTTGCCCAGGGTCACACAGCTGGAAGCATGGGAGGCTGGATTTGAACTGCTGACCCCAGGCCCTATGCAGACTCTAACACGATAACAGCTCAAACTGATGACCCAGTAGTAGTGATAATCACAAAGCCCTTTCAAAGTTCCTTGAGTTTTTACAGACATCAGTTCATTTGAGCATCACAAACCTGAGATGCGTTACCTGTTCTAGAGAGATTACTAGACCATTTTACAGATGAGGTAACTGAGGCCGGCATACGGCCAGGCTTGCCACCAATACCTGCCAATGGCCACAGCCCCAGGAGTCCCAGAGGCCTCAATGGTCTCTGCAGGAGAAGAACTGACAGTGGGAAGCCAGACACCTGGCCCCATGGTGGCCGGGTGTGGGGGTGGCCAGAGCTCATTCGGGCCCTCTCGCCCCTCACCTGGGTCACTGCAGCCCTGCTCTCCCCAATCCAGCCAAAGCCCAGGCCACCAGCCACCCCAGGGATACTTAATGCCCTTCACATCCTGGCTCCCAGCAATCTCTCCAGGCTTATACATCATTTCCCAGCAACAATCTACAGTTTCAGCAACATGGCCTGGCTGCTCCTCACAATCTCTGGTCTCCAAGCCTTTGCCTAGGCTGTGCCTGTTATGCATTCCATCTTCACTTCCTCCAAAGACTCCCTAGCCTCAGTTTAACACCTTCTTGCTCTCCTTCCTGATGCATCAACCCTCTCCACAAAAGACTACTTCCTGGCATACCCCTCCGTACACATGCCATATCCCCTGGCACAGATGCTCCACATCTCCCCACCAGCAACAACGCCAAGCTGCTGCTGAGGTCGAGACCTGTCTCTGGAGCCCCTGGAGCTCAGGGGGCTACATACTGTGGGCTTTAAAAATGCTGCCTGAGCTCCTGAGGAGTCAGGCCTGGGGGCCTGGGAGCTGGGTCCTTGAAAGGTTCCACAGGCTAGATCTGGATGCTGGGGACCCTAAAGGAAGTTATGAATGAGGGACCCAGAACAGCAAGCCTGGAAGACAGAGGGCACCTGGATGTCCCAGGGGATGGAATAGGCAGACACCTGGGTCCTTCAGTGAAGGGAGAGGGGTACATCTGAGTCCCTGGAAGAAGCAGGGGCCAGGGAATATAGAAATATGTGCTGGAGGCCAGGGATCCAGATGGACCTGGGGTCCCTGTGGGAAGAGGGAGGGAGGTTGGAGATCAGAACACCAGGGGCTCCGGGGGGGAGGAGGACTCAGGACCAGGACACCAGGGGCCCTGGGGGAGGGGAAGTCAGGACCAGGACGCCAGGAATTCTGGGGGAGGGGGAGTCAGGACCAGGACACCAGGGGCCCTGGGGGAGGGGGACACAGGACCAGGACACCAGGGGCCCTGGGGGAGGGGGACTCAGGACCAGGACACCAAGGACATTGGAGGAGGGGACTTTGGGAATCCGGACCTGGGGTCCCTGGGGGCGGGGCCAGCAATTCGGTGCCAGCTTCCACGTGGAAGCCAGCCACGCGGTGGCGCGAGGCCGGGGGTGGGGGGCTGAGCCTAGAACCTGGCGAACCTAGAACCCAACGTGGTCTTGCGCCGCACTTCCTCTTCCCTCCGCGCGCCCCCCGCCCGCTCCGCGCGCGCACGCGCACTGCTCACCTGTCCTGGGCCGCGCGGCGGAGTCACCATCCGCGCGCACAGAGACCTGGGCAAGGGCACGAGCCCGAGCTGGGGCCGCAACCGCAACCGCAGCCAGTGCCCGCCCAGCAGGCGTGAGGGCAGCGATACCGCCGCCACCGAGGCCGCCATCTTGCTCGGACACTATCGCCGCCGCCGCCAGGCCCCGCCCCATTCGGCTTTCTCCCACGGGGTCCGACCAATGAGCGCATGGAGCGGGCTCGCGCCTTTGACCAATGAAAGAACAAGTTCCTCTTTCCCCCCCTTGCCCCTCCCGAGCAGCCAATGGACTTCGGAGAGGGCTGCGGCTTCAGCCAATGAGAGGACGTTGTTTTCTATATTTCTCCCCCTCCCCTCAATTTCGGCCCCCTCTCTTCCCCCACCCCCAAACACAAGCGTGCCTAGAAGCCAGGAGCCGGTCCCGACGGGACCCAGAGAGGGTCAAAAGAGCTTCGTGTGGCCGAAGCCAGCGGGCGTCCTAGGGCTTCTTCCCGAGAACCCCGAGCACCGATGAGGAGCACCCCTCCCACGTCTTAGCTGCGCGCTTCCTCGTCCGCACAGTCCACCCGAAGGCGGCTATTACTGGCCTCGACAGAGCACTAGCAGTGGATGTTGGGGGATGTTATATTTGAGTAGGGGGCTGACATGGCAGGTCCAGAACTTTAGGAGAAGCCCATGTGGACTGATGAGATCCCCAATGACGCCGCATGGACGGAGGAGAGAGCAGGGTGCCCACAGCCCCGGGGCCCCCCCGTGGTCAGAAGGCATGATTTGGAGGATCGGGCAGGGGAGACAGAAGGGGCTGTCAGATAAGAGAAGGGTGTCCTGAAAACCTAGAGAAGAGACAGTGACACACAGCAGGGTCCAAGGCCAGAGGTCAAGGAGAATGAGGACAGCGAGAAAAGGCCGGTGGCCTTGACCGCAGAGAGACCGATGGGCCCTGGGATGAGGAGGTCAGGCGGGAAAGCGGAGACCCCTGTGGTTTGGTCACAGGAGGCAGAAGAGGTATAGGAAGATAAGGGATAGCAGGATCCCGGGAGGAGGAGACATGGGCCTGTTTGGGGGGGCGGGGGGCAGTCTGCCAGGGGAGACAATCGTGATGAGCACCAACTGTCTGCTAGGGGGAAACAGACCAGAGAAAGCCAACGTCAGAGCCACCAAAGGGCCACCACCTTTTGGCAGATGGGCCAGGAAAAGAGTCTCAATCTTCTGACTTTCTCTCTAGCGCTGACTGGCTTAGTCTCCCGTACCAGGGAATCATGGGGCGATTTCGCCTTCCTAGCCTGACCCCCTCCTCAGCCCAGTCCACACAGGATCTCCCCTCCCGCCTCAATTCAGGATTCCCTTCAGACTGCTGAGAATGACACCACTGATCAAACAATCTTTTATTCAAAGACCACAGACACAGCAAGCTGGTTGGGGTGGGCTGGATCTGGGAGACTTCTCTCTGTGGCCAGCCCTGCAGGTGCTTAGAGAATCTTCCAAAAGGAACAAGTGAAAATAGAACAGCCAAGGTCTCCCAGGCCTCTGCTTTGCACCTGGCTGGGGAGCATGGGGGGGGGGGTGAGACCCCTCCAGCTCCCCTCTAGGCTTCGAGGAGCTTCCCTAAAAACCGGAGATTGAGGATCTTGAGCTGTTCGTCCAGGTCCATCCGAACGATGCCATCCTCCCCATCGATGCTCAGCAGGTCCCCTGTGGCCTCCCGGTCCTCCCCTAAGATCACCTTCACCTGGGGAAGAGAGCAAGGGGCTAGATCCCACCTTCATGTAAGCGACAGGAGAAGGGGCTGCCTGCTCTGAAAAGGAGAGCCAAAGTGCTTTTGGAAAGTAACCTCCCTCTGCTGCCCTAGGGGGTTCTGCCTTCTCACCTCCCCCCTAACCCTTACCACCCTCTCCAGGGCCCCAGGACCCCCTCACCTTGTTGCTTTTGGTAGGAGTGATGGGCTCAAGGTGTTCACTAGAGATACTGACTACCTTCTCGCTGTCCTTCAAGTACACAGAGCACATACCTCCCTAGGGGGCAGGGATAGCAGGCATCCCACAATCAGTCCCCACACCAGGACCCTAAAGCCACCCCGACTCAGAGGGCTCAGTTCAAATCATCTGATTTCCAGCCCCACTGAGGTTCCAGGTGTCCAGCCCCCAGGCCCAGCCTCAGAGAGTCAAGCTCCCCACCTCCCACCTGCCTTCAGGCCACTCCCCAGAAAAAGAAGCCGCTCTAAGGTATGCAGAAGGAGACCTGGAAGAAGCCCTCACCCCCAGCTCCCTCCCAGAGTGCCTGTGACCTCCCCAGGTCGAGCCCTGCTATCCAGATCCCCCCGTACCGTGACGCTTCGGATGACGCCCGTCTGTCCAACCACCTGGCTGTCCAAGTAGGTGTCTCGCACCTTCACCTGGATATCTGTGGTTACCCAGTCACTGGAGTTCTGCTCAATCCCAGAGCCTGGTGTATGAGGGTTATAGCCTCCGGGGGATGGTGCCCCAGGAGTCATCGGACTGTAGCCCACTGGACTGGGGCTAGGGCTAGCCTAGGGTTAGAAAGGAAAGAAGAGGCCTACAGTTAGTTCAGTTACGGGTATCATTCAATTCAATAAATGCTTATTAAGCACCTACTGTGTGCCAGGCACCATGCGAAGCACCAGGGATACAAATCAGATCATTTGGACATGGCCTCAGCCTACCTTTGCACATCAGCCCTAGTCTCTCCCCAGACCAGGGCCACCCAAAAGCTAGGAACTCCAGCACCCACCTCTCCCCCTCCCTCCCCCACCAAGGTCTCTGCTCAGCACCTGGTAAGCCATTGGTGAGGGGGTGGGGTGGTAGCTGGCGGGCGAGTGGGTGTTCTGGTAGCCCGCTGGACTTGGCGCCACCTGGTGGTAACTCTGGGGGCTGGGCTGATAGGAGCCTTGTGGCGAGGGGGCCGCATAGGGTGAAAACTGGTCCGTGTTGTACCTGGGGGAAAGGCCAGGGCATGTCAGGACAGATGGCACCCACAGCTCCTGCCTTGGTCCAAGGTCACTCAGGGCAGGGAATGCAGCCAGGGAGGGCAGGAGGGGGGTGGGCAGCAGCTTGGCCTGAGAGATGGGACTGATTTCTAAGCTCCCTCACACCAGGGGCTTCCCACTCAAATTCCATACATAAGGATTCCCACAGCCCCTGAGTGCCTTAGCTTTAAAATGTAACGTTACCTGTGTTTTATTGTATTTTCATTTATGTTCTTAAACATTTCCTAATGGCACTTTAATCTGGCTTGGGCCCAAGGGCAACTGACCTGCCCCTGCCTTATCTATCAGTCTAGGCAGAAGAATGCCCAGGGGAAAGGCCAGGGAGGGGGAGGCACCCGAGGTAAGGAATTCAAGGGCAGGGGCTGGAGCAAAACCTGGAGATTCGGAAAAAGCAGCACTGGTGGGCCGGCCCCTCGTCACTTACATGGCGGGGGTTCCAGGAGTCTGTGGGTTGTACTGTGCATTGACCTGGGGGGATGAGGGGTCAGGATAGCCTGGTGTCTGGGGGTTGGGGGTCCCACCATAGGCTTGCGGGGATGGGGTGGGCTCATCATCGAAGGCATACTCATACTCTTCCTCTGCCCTGCATGGGGGGAAGAAAGCAAGATGGCTGGTAAGGGGAAGCATTCTTGCCCCTAATTCACCCCCACTGCAGTTCCATTTTAGACCCTCCGCACACGTGAGCCCCCCTACCATGGCCCTGCCCTCTTCTTACCTGGACGGTGTGTTGGGGTTGTTGGGGTCCCAGGCACCACTCTGGGCTGGTGTACGGCTGCCGTCGTGAAGGGGCGTCTGGGAACCATAATGTGGAGTGCGGCTGCCTGCACGAGAGGAGGAAGGGGCCATCAGATCCCACCCCCACTTTGTCTGCATCAACCTCAAGGGCTGACCTCTTCACTGTCCCCCAGGTGACCGTGCAAACACACACACACACACACACACACACACACACACACACACACACTTTCCTCTTCCCCAACACCGCCTTACACCTATGCCTCAGCCCTCTGACGGTGCCAGAATGAGGAGACTTACCATCATGCAGAGGGGTCTGTGAACTGTACATGGGGGTACGGGAGCCTTGGACGTACATGGGTGTCTGAGAGCCATACATCGGGGTACGCCCGTAGGCTGAAGTCATGCCCCCTGGACGTCTGGTGCCACTGTGGGCAAACACGGGGAGGCAGGGTGAGAAGAGACAGGCAGCAGATGGACAAAGGGTACAGCGCCCAGAACAGTGAGGCACAACAGACCTCCCAGCCCCAGAAAACCTTCCCCTCCTGCATCCTCCCCGCTACTAACACTGTGGTGAGCCGCTGGCGATCCACAGAAATGGTCTGGCAGGTCGAGTGGAGCTCCACGCGGGCCGTGGACTCAGTGGCATCCTTCACTACCCCAATATAGCCTGGGCGAGGAAGGCACAGGACGGTTTGGGGGCTGTCCATGCTCTGCATCTTCAGGACCCCTACAATAACCACACCCTTCACCCCCCGACCCCCTCAACACAAGCCCACACTCACCTTTATATGGACCCTGAGAGATACGCACGGTCTGTCCGATGAGGTCGTTATCTCTCCGGCCACGGCCACGGCTCAGGCCACCAGCACCGGCACTTCCAAATCCTCCCCGCTGACCTACGAGAATGAGATGACGATGGCAGGAGGGAAGAGGTCAGGAGTGTGGGAGAGCCCAAGGAACCTCCTTCCTGATCCAGCTCTCTTCCATCTCCACCTTTTCCTGATCCCAAGCCAGGGCGTCCCAGATTCTCCCTCACCTCCAGCACTAGGGTGCATGGGGCTGCTGATTCGAGGGCTCATTGGGGCAAAGCCACCCACGGTGAAGTTTGTGACATCTCGAGGCTGGGAGAAAAAGAGGGGCAGGAGGCAGTGAGGAGACAGGGTGCCCCCTCCCTGCCTTCCTCCCCCATTTCCCCCATCCCACAGGCTCTGCACACTTACCCCTCAAAGATGGATCCCCCCCAACCAGCTGGCCCTCAGCCCGACCTACTTTGGAGCCCCCAGCCAACACCAAGTGGCGGGTCTTGCAGACAAACATGCCACCATTTTCCACCAGCTTCTTGCAGTGGAGAAATGCAAATCCTCGGAACAGATGCCTGATCTCTCCTTCT